TCCAATCCACCCTCCAACCTAGGGTGATCTCTCAGGTTCCCCTTTTTTTTTCTGACCTTGGTGTCAGGCGAAGGCCTGGAGATTTAATCCAATCCACCCTCTAATTTAGGGTGATCTCTCAGGTTCCCCTTACTTTCCTGACCATTGTCAGGCGAAGGCCTGGAGATTTAATCCAATCCACCCTCTAATTTAGGGTGATCTCTCAGGTTCCCCTTTCTTTCTGACCTTGGTGTCAGGCGAAGGCCTGGAGATTTAATCCAATCCACCCTCCAACCTAGGGCCATCTCTCAGGGTCCCCTTACTTTTCTGACCTTTGTGTCAGGCAAAGGCCTGGAGATTTAATCCAATTCACCCTCCAACCTAGGGTGATCTCTCAGGCAAAGCCTGGAGGTTTGACCATTTAATTTTACTGTTAGAAGTTGAGGTACCTGTTTAATTTTTTTCTTTCTTGAGTTTTTTCTCCCCTGAGTCTTTTTTTTTGGCTGATCTTTCCCAGTCTTTTCAAGTCTCTCTGGATCTCGGTGGGATCTCCAATTGCCGCGCCAGCGCCACAACCAAGTCCAGGGTATCAGGAAAAGAGAGACCAGACATCTAGCTGTTTGTACTAAGAGAATGTATGTGCTGTCTTTATTGCCAGGAGAGTGTGTGTGTGTGTGTGTCTTCATTGCAAGTGCTAAGAGGTCTCTGCCTTGTAGGAGGGAGGAACTTTTTATACAGGTTTACAGCACAGTGGAAAAAACCCCAGGTAGAAGAGATCGTTGTTTTCTTCCTGCTAGATGTTGATGTCAGAGGGTCAAGGCCAGGGCAGTAAGTTAGGACTAGAAAACAGAAAGCACTTGGACTGGAAAACAAGTTGCACTTGTAAGCTGACCAGCAACTCACAGAGACCCCATGGGGCTGGGGCCCAACACCCTCCCATTTCTTCCTTTTGTGTGTGTGGAGGTCAGAGGACAACTTGTGGAAGTCCATCTTCTCCACACATCATGTAGGTCTCAAGGATCAAATTCAGACTGTCGGGTTTAAGAGGAAGTGCCTTTACTTACCAGGGCATCTACCTCCCCAGGTCCTGGTTGTGCGTCTTGCCACCCAGCAGCAATGGGTGTGTCTGTCCTCAGGGCTCCCCTGCGCTGAGTGTACAGGCTGCTGCTTTACATGTCATTAGCAGTCTGAGAAAGCCCGAGCGAACTCTTTTAGGTCAATAGCCAGCCCCAGCAGTTGCTCACCTTTGCATGGTTCTGCACCATTGCGACTGATGCGTTTGGCCTGCCAGAGTGTTTGCCCGTTTCCGTTGCCTTATGCGAGCCCTTTGCATACACTCTCTCATGTGCTTCTTGATAAGCTGATTTTCCTCTATATAATATATCCTGGGCATGGCCCCATAGGCATATGTCATCCTGTGAGCTTGCTGTATTTATGTAGGCAATACTCTGTGCCTCAGTTTCCTTATCTATGAACTAGACAGTGATTTTACCCCTCATAGTTTTGTTGTGTACACTGCTGTGGTAGTGAGGTACTTATACTGATGACTTAGTAGAATAAATGATGTGCTTAGTAGAATAAATGATGTGTGGTAAAAAAAAAATGGGGCGGGGAAGGCCATCTAGGCCTCAGATGGACCGCTTGCAGCTCCTGGTTCTGGTGAGCTTGGTCCTTCCCTTGTTTTCTGGCCTAGTAATCTTTGGTATGCACCTCCCTCTGGGCTGCTGAAAGCCTTCAGCATCCTGCTCAGACTTAGCCTTAGAATAAATAAACAAATAAGGAAGTGGTTTGGTGAGAAAATTTGTGTTACTGTGCTTGTCTGTTTTCAGCTTCTGTAACAGAACACCACAGACTGGATGTCTATAAACAATGGAAGGTATTTGGCTCTGGGTTCTTGAGGCTGGGAAGCCCAGGAGGGGCCATGTCCCATGAAGTCTTTCTGGCAGATGTCACATGATGTCACTGCACAGGAAAGGTCTGAGGTGAACATCCCACTGCCACAGCATCCATGCATGACAGCATGAACCCCTGTCCAAGGGCAGAGCCCATGTGGCCTAGGCACGCTCCTAAGCCCTGCGTCTTCATCCTCACAGCGCAATGGCACGCACACTCCAGCCTGGGCTTTGGAGGCAACACTGAACCACAGTGCAGTCTCACACCTCTGCCATCAAAGCAAAGCCCTCCGAGTGCCATGCCTCCAAATGTCCCCATCTCTGTAGGCTTCAACAGCTTGTTGGTGCTCCCAGCTCTTCCCTTCAGCAGAGTGATGGCTGGGGAGTCTTTAATGTGGCTCTCCCTGTCTGGTTGTCTGGTTGGGTCCTTTTCCTGCATTCCAGATAGAAGCCTGCCTGTGGCTTGTCAAATGTCCTGAGGCCCTTTCCCAGGCAGCAGTCCCTGGTGTCTGGGTTTGGCCGTGAAGCTGAGCACACTGAATGACGTGGAGTAAGTCTACTGCTGCACTTACGTTCACATCTCCAAACTGGGATGGGGATGGAGGGTGGGTGGGTACCCATGCCATTAGGCTGTCGGGGACTGAACAGCTGCAGATGGCTTGCTTAGACAAGAGCCTGGCAAACAGTATACTGTAAGCAGACTGCTGCCTGGCTCCTAGCCAGGAGGAGAGCGTCCCCTTGGCTCTGGTCCTTCAAAAAGATATATCTGCTAGCTGCAGGTAGCTGGGGCACTGCTCAAAGGGCAGCTTATGCTCTCTAACAGTCGCTTTCTGAGATAGAGCGGGAGAAGGAAGAGGGAGGCTGGGCCTGTGAGGTCTGTATCACCCTGCTGTGCCCGTCACTGCCTCTCAGGGTTTCCCTGAGTTGGGCAGCTCTAACTAAGGGCACCTGAAAGTGGATACTGGCATTGGGGAAGGCTGGAATCAACTGCATTGCCACCCAGACATAGCTACCAGGTGGGAAATGTGTTAATACCATCTAGCAAGGCATGAGCTCACATTCCTAGAAGAGCACCTGGAATCTGCTGCAGTAACTGGTTTCTCCAGGTCTCTGACTTTTTCAAATTAGAGTATTCTTTTAGTTGTCCCATCTAAGGCAGTGTCTCAAATTTCTTACAAGTTTCTATTCAGCAGTTACACCTTGTGCCAGTGAGGGAACCAGTGTGTCAGGGACCTGCTGACTCCAACCCCGGGCTCTGAGGACAAGTCAGCTTCCTTCAGATCTGGAGGTGCCGGGGCTAGCAGCAGCCCTGCTGGAGTCAGGGCAGGGAACGGACACAACCCCAAGCGCAGTGGCCTGAGTGTCAGCAGCATGTGCCTGGGGGAGTGCTAGGCTGGGAAGTGAGGGCAGTGCCTCGTGCTTAGCTCAGTCCTGAGAGTGATGCTGCTTAGGAAGGCTGGCTGCATGGGCCATGGCCTCTCACACTCGGCTGTGGTTGCAGCGTTGCCTCGCCCACCCGTTCCTTTAGCAAGTTCCCACTGAGCCTCCTTGTGTGGTGGGGGAGGATTCATGTCAGCCACACAGTAATCACCTGTGTTTGAAAGGCACGGAGTCATCTGTGCAGGTGCTCACCAGTGAGTGTTCTTGCGTCTGTAGTGTCCCCTGGGGCCGGCGGCATGTCTGAACTACCATGGACTTACTAAAGCCGCTGGGTTTCCAGGTCAGATTTGCCTCTGAATTGCACACTGCCTATTGCTGCTAGGGCTGTGGTCCTCCTGTCTACACCCACAGACTATTAGCTCATTTGATTTGGGGGAGAAATTCAGGTTAACCTGTAGCTCTGTGTGGATGGGTTGGGAAGCCCCTGCCTAGTGCATCAGGGACTTCGAGGGACAGCAGCTGAGGCCACCACCTTGCCTTAAGCTTTCCCAGAGCCCCCCTCATGAGCTTTCAGGTTAGGTTTGCCACCTCAGCATAATGGCCTCTCTTCTCTTTACCCTCAGAGCTGCTAACTGACAGCTGTTCAGTTTGAGAAATAAGCTGTTTTCTCTTGTTGGCTAGCCTTCAGCTTCTCTGAGGCAGCTTCCAAGATGGCAGCTGGGGTGGGCTTGGGGACATAGTGGCAAACTCCCGCATGTGTGTCAGAGGCTGTTGACAATTTACAGTGCCTACAGCTTCATGGGAACAGAAACCCTTTCAGCCGTCTACCAGGATGGCCAGGAATCCTCAGACCAAGGACCGTTTCCCTGTGCACACCTTAGCTCAGATGTGCCCCGTGTGAAACTGCTGCCCAGATGTGCCCCGTGTGAAACTGCTGCCCAGATGTGCCCCGTGTGAAACTGCTGCCCAGATGTGCCCCATGTGAAACTGCTGCCCAGATGTGCCCCGTGTGAAACTGCTGCCCGGGTCTCCGACCCTGCTTTGTGTTGGCACAGGCTACTCTGCTGAGATAGGAGGTTCCCTTGTCAATTCCTTGTGCCCAGACTCACCCCTGGATGTCATGCCCAATGAGGCAAAGAAAGGCTCACTTTACCCTGGATTCCTAGTGAGGCTACAAGTGGAATCAAGTGAGTCTAGCCTATTTCCCATCATGATGTAGTTTCTGACCTGGAATTCCACTTTAGGAGCTTGTACCAAGAAGATGAAGTGTGGAGCCAATTTCCTGACCTACCGCCCTAGCCCGTCAGAGCCCCCGTGGGCAGGAAGACACACCATGCCCACCACAGGGGGTGCCCCTCCCTCGCAGGTGTATTTAAACCCCCTCAGGCTTTCTCCTGTGCCCTGTGCCCACCCCTGAGTAAGTGGCAGCAAACAGCCTCATGTGCTGACCGCCCAATCTCCTCACAGTCCATTACAACAAAAGCTATCCTTCCCTCGTTAGAACCATTTCTGTCAGGGTGTCTTTAATCAGTGGCTTCCCCAGGGACAGTATTTTTAGAAGTTGTGTTTTTCACAGCCTCCCCTTTTCCCTCTTGGAAATGTTCTTCCTGTGCCGGGTGCGTTGCACTAACGAGATGCCGGGAGAGTTGGGGCCAGTGCTAATTGGGACAGGTGCAGAGGAAGCGGCCCGCCCCACCCCCCGTCCCAGCTCATCTTACCCATGACCCTCTTCTCATCCCTGTGCTGCAGGTTGCACAGACAGCAGATGGCGTGGACGCTGACCTCTGGAAGGACGGCTTATTCAAGTCCAAGGTCACCAGATACCTGTGTTTCACGAGATCGTTTTCCAAAGAAAATGTGAGTCTAATGGCAGTTCCCTTTGCTGAGTGGGCAGGAATAATTAACATTCCTGGTTGGGTTTTCCTCTTTGTGTGTGTGCTTTATGTTCATTGCTGGATTAATTTATCTGTGGTTTCAGTGAGCAGGGTAGAATCGGCAGCCAGCACCATGTTTCATTTATTAACAACGTTATTAACCATGTCCCCAAGTGCACAGTGAATTCCATTAAGATGTTGTCTCCAAAGGAGACCAGAAAATTCTCTCACTGCACTCTCATTTGCCTCCTTTCCTGCAAGTGACAGCTCACTGGGCATTGTGGATGGAGAGTCTTCGAGGGCAGATCAGCTCAGGGGAGGGTCCATGATACCCACTACCCCATATCTGTCCCCAAACATGACACAGCCTTGCTTCTAAAGAGCCTCTGTGTGACATGGGACATGCCATTGTTTTTACGGAGAGGTGTCCACCTGTATATAATTCTCTTGTTTTTTGATACTTAGGTCCATGAACTAGGAAACTTTAAAGATCGCTGCAAGAACTTTCCCTAAATGCAAGAGGCATTTTAGAAAGGGCAGTAGTTTTGGTGACCCTTGTGTGAGACCCCAGGACTGTATCTCATTTCCTCCCCAGATGACCTCCCGCTTTTAGTCTACCATGGTAGTGAAATCACTGCCATGCTCTGGGGCAGAGAATCTGCTTCTTCTAAATTCAGATACTTGTTTTTGAAATATTTTTTTTACCAATTTACAAATTTAATTATAATGGTAATGTAGATTGTAGTTTCAAAAAAACCACCCAGCATAAAACATGCTGACCCAAAGAATGAAAGGTAGAAGGCTTCTTCTTCCCGAGAGACTCCCTGCCCGTCACAGCCTCCCTGTCCTGTCCATCACTTCATCAGAACCCTCCAGCCTGGTGTCCCACTGCCAGTTCCAGGCTTGCCCCTTCAGCAGTGTCTGAATGTGGACTATGATTACACACTGCCTGTAGTTCATTGATAATTCTTTGTTATGAATATTGTTCCTAACATGTTCAGGATGAGGGGTGAAGTTGTCCCCTTAATTTCCCCTCTAATTACAAGAGCAGCACATTTGCTGCTCATAAAGTTTGAGTGAAATGGAGAATCTTTTTCCTACCATGCCTCTGAATGCACATTCAGTAACAGGATGGTAGCAGCTGAGCCAGCTCGGTGCCTGTGGTGTGTCTGCACAGATCCCTTGCTCTCACTGGAGCCTGAGACTTCCCCAGAGCAGGGCCGAGGTGGTGTCAGCACCCCAGATGAGGCCCATGAGGTTATCAGTAGACCCATCAAGTGTCCTTCCCACCTGCACCCCTCATGCTCCCTCCTCAGCCCCTTTGTCTCTGGAGTCTGCCCAAACACCTTTTGAAAGCTGTTTCTGCCTTTCGCTCCTATGGCCTCTGTTCTGTCCACTGACTGCTGCTCCTCGTGGACGGCATGGGTTCACTGCTGCAGGGCTCTCAGGAGGAAGTCCCAAAGACTGGTCAAGCACCTTGTCTAAGTTACTTTTCTGTTGCTGGGATCAAGCACCGTGACGAAGTCAACTTACAGAAGGAGGGTGTATTTTGGCGTATAGTTCTAGAGGAATAAAACCCCATCGAGGCAGGGAGGCGTGGCCACAGCGGAAGGTGTGGCGTTAAGAGCAGGAGCCCGAGGGCTCACATCCTCAGCTGCAAGCAAGAAGCCTAGGAAGAAATGAAAGTGGTGAGAGCTTTCCACTCTCCAAGCCCACCTCAGTCACATACTTCCTCCAGCAAGGCCGCACCTCTGAAACCTTCTCTAACAGACCACAAACTGGGGACCAAACGTTCACATTCTCTCAAAGCTATGTGGGCATTTCTCACTAGAATCACCCCAGCCCTGTGCTCAGAGGATAGCCACAGTCTCTTGGGTCACTTACATTGGGGCTTTGTGGCATCCACACCACGAACAAGTCCAAGATGTCAGGAAATGAAAGACAAGACGTCCGGCTGTTTGTGCTAAGAGAATGTGTCTGCCGCCTTTATTGCCAGAAGAATGTGTATGTGCCACGTCCGTATCTGCCCATGTGTCTGCTGTATATTCAGACTTACAGCACAGTGGAGAAACCCCAGGTGTAAGAACTTGTGTTTTCCTCGTGTTAGATGTTGATGTCAAGTGGGCAAGGCCGGGCTGTAAGCCAGGACTAGAGAGCAGGATGCACCTGTGGCTGTCAGCTGCCAAGCAATGCACAGAGATCTGTGGGGGCTGGGGCCCAACAGGACTTGCTACATTTCCTCCTGAAATCCATGAGGCATTGATCCAGGCAGAAGAGCTCTTGAAGTCCTGGGAGTGAGGACAGCAACAAGTCCATTATGACTCGGGGAAAGCACTGGGTCATTAGTTTGAAATGGATTATAGAAAACACAATTCTTGGGCTTGAAGATGGTGGTCGAGCACTTGCTTAGCATGCATGGGGCCCTGGGTTCAGTCCCTGGCACTTCCAGAAAACATGTGGCTGTCCATCAGTAGTAACTGGGTGCTGGGAGGGATAAGGGTGTGAGGCTGCCAGGAGGGCAGCCATAGGAGCCCCTGCCCTGTACTGAGCCTAGGTACACTCTTTTTAATGGAAAGAAAATGAACGTGTCCAGCGCTGTTAGCTCGCTTAGCAATCCCATCCTCAGCACAAAGAAAAAGAATAAATGAGTCTTTTAGGACATCCAGGTGATCGAATTGGGGCATAGAATTTGTTTTGGGATCAAAGTTTGGGCAACGGCAAGGCTCACTTGCCAATCCTCAAGTGAGGCAGGAGCTAGGTACATGCTAACCAGTGGTGGCTGCCTGTCTGTCCTGACCTAGGTCAGGACAGAGGCTGGGCAGAGTCCCGCTTTACAACCATATGGGAGGGTGTGGGATCCCCAGAGCAGGCCAAGTCTTAACTAAGTGACTTGAGACTCCAAGCATGGGAGTTTTGGGAGTTTCCTTTGAATCCTGAATTCTTTTCCCCCAATCAGGCCATTAATATAGAATCCTGGCTGTAGAGTGACATTGCTTCCTGGGGAAGGAGTGAGATTAATTGCACTTTTCATGGCCTGTACTTTCTGCATTACCTGTAATAATAATGTACATAGATTAGGTAGGGAGGATGTTAAACAGAAGGATTTATGAACATTTGAATATTAAGTTGGTTATCTGTGGCTACCTTAAATGCAAAGTTGTCAAAAATAATTACAGTATACTGGCAACTACTGGCTACCAGAGACAATATAAATACCCTGAGTCAGTGTATATCGGGCTTCTGGCATGAATCATTAGCTCAACAAGGATTGGGAATACGTTCTTCATATTTATGAGAAGGAAATGAAAGAGCGCACAGGTGGGGGAGGGGAGAGGAACCAGCAAAATTAATGGTGTTGTGGGCCTGTGGTATAAAAAAAAAGAAAAATAACCCACAGAAGGGCAGCCCCATGGAAGAGAGCCACACTCGGATTGCTGGAAGCTTCAACGGAGTAGTCCCCCAATCTGTGTGTATGGAAGGGTTTCCATATGCTCGTTTTTAATGACCACACCACCAGTGCTCTGATTTTATGGTTAGGGCATTTTCTCAACAGTGGGGAGGGTGAGGTTGCTAAATGGATTGCATTTGGCTTCTACAGAGTCCTGCTTGTCGCTGAAAATGTTCAAGCACAATATTGATGGCTGCCCATCCATCTGTGGGCAGCAGGACATGACCTATTGCTGATTTCTCGGTGCAGAGAGCAGTGATGACAGCTGCCCCGGGGCGAAACCACGTCCTTCCGAGGTTCTCGCTGAACCCAGCCCTCCTGGGCAGTCAGAGTCCATTCCATGATAGAGAGGGCCTGCTCCCCATGTGCTGTGCCTCCGTGCATGCTGACCCCTGACCCCAGGCCTTGAGCTTGGGTAATGCCGAACTGCTGGCAGGCACTGCTGAGAGTGAAGGACAGGTGTCTGATGGGCACGAGCTACACGTGCCACTCTGGCTTCTGAATGTCACCTGAGGCGTGTTTTACTTATGCGCCATACTAACCAATAACGAACTTTTAGAATTTGGGTGACCATTTCGATTTGCCATCCAAGAAAGTCTGGTTTGGTTTCTGATCACCAGAGCTTACCCTGTTCAAAAGTGTGCCACCAAATGTAGTTGGAATTTTCTTTGGGCCACCAGCCAGCTCTCAAAGACAGAGACTTACTAAGTATGAATGCCCAGCCTTAGCTTAGGCTTGTCCCGCTAGCTCTTTTAACATAATTTAACCTCTTTTATTCATCTTTGTTTTACCTTGGGGCTTTCTACCTTTCTTTCATTCTGTGTGCCATACTTCCCTGCTTCCTCCCAGTCTGTCTGACTGGCCCCTTGTCTCCTTGGCATCTTTTTTTTTCTTCCAGAGCCTAAATTCCTCCTCCTCCTTACTCTCCATGCCCTGGAGACCCACCTATACCTCCTCCCTCGCTATTGGCCATTCAGCTTTTTATTAGACCAATCAGGTACCTTAGGCAGGCAAGGTAAAACAGCAACACAGCTTTACATAGTTAAACAAATATTCTACAACATAAACAAATGCAATACATTTTTGCATAAAGAAATATTCCACAACAACCAAACATTATTTAGCCAATAATTATTGAGTCCATACTGTGTGCCAAGAACTGTGCTAGCTTTGTTGAGCAATAGAAGCAGAGGTCATTTTGGTTTCTATTTAGCAGTGGCAGGCAGGTCCTTAGTGCACAGTTGTTGTAATGACATCCTTGAAGATGGTAGGTAGATGGATACCTTGCAGTGTCTGTCTTAGTCACTGTTCTGTTGCTGTGAAGAGAGACAATGATCAAGTCTACTCATAAAAGATGCATGTAGCTGGGGGCTTGTCCACAGTTCACTATCATCACGGCAGGGAGCATGGCGGCACACAGGAAGACATGGTGCTGGAGCATAGCTGAGAGCTATAGCCTGGTCTGCTAGCTAAGAGGGAGACACTAGGCCTAGCATGGGCTTTTGAAACCTCAAAGCTTTGCCCCCCCCCCCAGTGACATACTTTCTCCAACAAGGCCACGCCTCCTAATCCTTTTCAAGCCATTCCGCTCCCTGACGACTAAGCATTCAAACCTGTGAGCCTATGGGGGCAGTCTTATCAAACCAGCACAGAGTCCAATTGTAAGTTGATGGGAATTAAAAGGAGCTTAAGGAGAGAGTGCCTGGCTTAGTTAGGGAAGCAAATGTTCCCTCTATGGATTTTGGAGACACCTGTGCATTCAGGATGAAGGTGGAATCTGTGTTCCCCAAGCTCAGAGGTGAAGGCGGGCCCCTTCTCTCAGCAACAGGGGAATACCAGCCTGAGAGGTCCCTGTGAGAGGCCTCGGCTGACTCCATAGATGCTTTTCCAGGGCTGAGGACAGGCACAGTGAGCGTGCATTCAAGCTGGGCTTTGGAGGACAGTGCTTCTGTAGAGTGGGCACATAGAGCACATCTGGATTCCTACCAGGGGAGATTTGGACTGGGAACCCATTTTTCTTGCCTTAACTGGCTCTGACGAGGCTGAGATTTCTTGAGAGCCGTTTCTAGCATGAAGTGGAAGCCGCAAGTGCTGGTGTGTTTGCAAAGAATTCTCTCTTGCAATTATAGAATGGTGCGCCACCCACCATCTTCAAAAGATGTCTTTACAGAAACTGTGCACTGTGGATCCCTCTGCCACCACTGGATAGGAGCTCTTAAGAGGCCCCAGCGAGTCATTTCAGAAGGCGTGGGAAACAGAGTGCGGGGCTGCCTTTCTGTCAGTTTATGATTCTTGGGATTTTGTAAAATGCATCTTGTAACTGAAAACTGTCTGCAGCCAACAACCTCTTAGGTGTATGATCAGTCCCCATTCAGTTCAGATGCAACTCCTCTCCTGCAAGCATCCCAGAACCTTCTCTGTTTAAAACCTGCTGACCCTGAGAGGTGGTGGCGCCAGGCCACATGCCCACCTGCCCTCTGCCGGGTTCTGTCTGCTGCTCTTGGTTCATCCGACTCATCAAGGCCACATACAAGTGAGCGGTCTTGAGATTCACAGATGAACCTCCCTCCTGAGGTACACTGTACTCCCTGGGTGTTGCTGGGAACATTAGGTTATTAACCTGCTGTGGTAAAGCTGCAGCAGCAGTCACTGTATTGAATACACATCCTGCAGCCAGGACTGTACGCTCACTGAGAAGTTCCAGTAATAGTCTGTGTGTCTTTTCTTCGTCCCAAGAGCCACTTGGGGAATGTGCTGGTGGACATGAAGCTCATCGATGTCAAGGACACGTTGCCTGTGGGCTTCATCCCTATCCAGGAGACGGTGGACACACGTGAGTCAGCCCTAACATGCATGCCTCGGGGACAGTCTCCTCCTCTTCCAGGTGGACTTTTAAATACTCTGTGTGTTTTTCTCTGGAAACATTTGACGGAGCTTTCTCTTGATGGTGAAGAAAGCCTGCCACTTGCAACATCCACCTGGGTTCTCTGTGTTTCCAGAGTGTGTGGGACCCTGCCTGCAAGTAAGCAGAGTCACTTTTCTTAGAATGACGCCCCTGCTGCTTGGGATCACTCAAGAACAGAACAATGAGGCTAGGGATAGTTGGGATTTGGTCTGCCCTCAGCTGTTGCTGAAGCCAAGCTTGGCCCAAGACCCCAAAGCAAAAGGGAGGAAAGGCAGAGATCAAAAGATGCCAGGGGCCTGCAAGAAGCAGCTGTTCCTGGTGTGGGGCCCACAGAGCAAGCAAGACCGGGAACCAGAAAGACTGCAAGTTAGACATGCAAGATCAAATGGGAACCAAATATGGGGGCTCCAACTCATAGTCCTAACACTTGGGAGGTGGGGGCAGGAAGATCAGGATTCAAGGTCATCCTTCACTGTATAGCAAATGTGAGGCCAGCCTGGGCTACATGAGTCCCTGTCTATTACAAAACAACAACAACAAAACTTAAATGAAAACAAGGTATGAATTAGACCAGATGTTCCAACCACTGAGCAGCAGTGCACTGAGGGGAGCAGCAGAGAGCTGTGGAAATGGAGAAGTTGCCTCGGGACGCTGTAGTGTTAGAGGCTGGGGTCCTCGAGGGCTATGGCCAGGGTCCTGGAGAGCTAGGACGGGTAAGGTAGTGTATCTGAGCTTCTTTGTTTGGGTGTACATTAATTTGCTGTATTTATAACTATGAGCCACTCCACAGCAGTGAGACAATGAATAAGAGAACAGAGATCCCTTTATCTGTGAAACTCCTTTATGGAATTCTACATTCTTTTCTTTGCTTTTACTTATAATATGTATACACACACATACATATAATATGTATACACACATATACATATATATACACACGCATACATATACATATATTTTTTAATTTTTCATGGTGGGAACATTTCTGAACCATTACTTGCTTGCCATTTCCTTGTTTGCATTTCAAACTGAACAGCTTCCACGCCTCCATAACTACTTCCATGGAACGTGTTTCAGCACGGCAGGGGATCCCTCACTGACCGCTTTCATTTGCGTGCTGTGAGGTGTGGCAGTACGTGTCATGGTGCTGGTTGGCTCTAACTGCCACTTTGACACATCTCTGATCACCATAGAAGGGAGTCTCAGCTGAGGGGTCACCGGATCAGAATGGCCTCTGGGCATGCTTGCCCGCGTTTTCATGCTTGCGAACTGACCCAGCCCATTATGGGTGGCACCCTTCCCTGGGCAGGAGATCCTGGGCTGTGTGAGGGTAGACTTGGAGGGAGCGTGTTTCTCTCTGCTCTTGACTGGATGTGCTGTAACTAGCTGCTTAAGTTCCTGTCTTGGCTTCCCCTTAATGATGGACTCCAGCCTGGAGTTGTAGGCCAAGTAAACCAATTCTTCCACAGTTCCCCTTTGGCCAGAGTGTTTTATCACAATAACAGAATGAAATAGGGCACTGATATTTACTGTTTTTCATGTAAGGCCCCCATGGTAAAAGCTTCACCCTCATGATCTCATTTTATCTTTAGGAGACCTCTGGAGAGATGGAGGTTAGACCAGTTTTATATATGAGAAAAACAAGGCACAGTGACTACATCTTAGCCAAGAGCAAGAACACACCCACATACAGATGTACGCACACACGGACATACATGCACACATACACATGCGTGCAAACATATTTGCGCACACACACATGTGCATGAATACACAAGGATAGCTGGGCGTTGGTGGTGCACACCTTTAATCCCAGCACTCGGAAGGTAGAGCCAGGCAGACCTCTGTGAGTTCAGGGCCAGCCTGTCTACAAAGTGAGTTCCAGGCCAGCCTCCAAAGCTACACAGGGAAACCCTGTCTCGAAAAACCAAAAAAAAAAAAAAAAAAATACAGATGGATACATATGTGCCTTCACATATAGAGATATGCACACAATACACATATGTGCATGCATATAATCACGTGTACATGTACACACATAGAAATGTACATGCATGCACACAAACATAAATACATATACATACACATACAGGTACATATACACACATGTGCATAGCACACAACATACACATGCACCTCGATATGCACGCACAAACACACATGTATGCACATGTACACACACATTTACTAAGCACCTTGCACATACAGACTTTCTAGTTAGCAGGGGATTTTTTAATGATGGTTTAAGAAACAGTCAAATACCACGTAATTCACACAATCAGTGCTTCTTAGATTTTCATCGTTGTGCACCCTCCGCTGTGGTTCTTCTATCACCGCAGCTGTCCTCGTCTCCTGCCCCGCCGGCTGGTGCTTTCTGCATAGCTCTGCCTGTTTCTGGTAGTTCCTCCACATATGTGCATAGCAATGCCAGGCTGGGGAAATGACCCTGTGGATAGGCGCTTGCTGCACAGACAGGAGGCCCTGAATCCACACCCAAGCCGCAGACGGAAGGAAGGCCCCTTCCACGTCCGGGCCCTCTGTTGGACCAACCCTTACCTCTAGTCTCTCTGTGCTCATGTCCAGTCTGGCCCTGCTGCTTGAGCTTGTGAACCCCAAGCAGGTCCTCTCAGACTCCTGACTCAGTTTACCCATTTGTCAGGCGAGGAGGGCACTCTCTGCCTTGTAAGGTTGCTGGAACACACTGGTCCTTTCAAGTTGGCCTTACCAGCTGTGTGACCTCCGTGAAGGTATCTCACGGTCTGGCAGCAGCAATGGCTCCCTTCCTCAGACCTCCCAGTACAGGGGCTCTGCCTCTTATTTTGTTTTACTATTTAAATTGTATTTAATTTGTAGTTTGCTCCTTGTTAGCAAGCCTGAGTGCTTTTATAAATGTTTGCTTGCTAACTTTGCCTCTTCTTAGGTGAATTTTCTGCTTACAATTTAAAAAGGCCTTGTTGATTTTTGTCTAAGCCTGTTTTCTTCCTGGGGTTTTCAAAGTTTTAAATATTTCTTTGATGTTCTTTTTTTGACAGCTAATTGATGTATAATATCTTTTGTATGGACATAAGGCCATTCAGCATTTCTTGTTTGTCGAGCTCATTCAGTGAGGAGGCCCTGTTGTGGGCCTGTGCTGTGACTGCTGGGGGCCCGGTGGTTCTGATTGGGAAGCCCCCATGTTTGCATCAGGTGCTGTCCAGTGGGGCCTGTGCTCTTCATCGGGTGTCTAAAAGCATACCTGTGGTTAGGGAACCATTTCTCAGCAACTTCCCAGGGGATCAAGAGCCTCATGGTCAGCCCAGGATCTCCTGAGAACACTTAAAGCCTTTTTTTCATGGAGTCAGCCAAAAAGATGAGAATCCTATAATTAATTTAAAATGTGGCCTGTTGCCGCCCGTACAGCACTTAAACCCTGGAAGACTGTTTGTTTTAGTAAAGTGCTGTGTACTCTTCCTGTGTTCATTAGCATGACTGAACACATTTCTATTGACTATGTATAATATGCTTACTTAAGATGAGGCCTGCTTAAGCATGTGTAATGAATGAGTGGGTCCGTCCTTGACTGAGCTGGCTGCAGATGGAGAGACATGGAGCCGAGCTCTGGCAAAGGCTAGCAGAATATCTGTCCCTTGGTTTACCCCGGGGAAGGTCTCTAGTGCGTCTCCGTCAGGGCTTGAACTTGGTAGCTATTGGTGTTAGGTACAGGGTTGCTGTGGCATACCCTTCCTCCAGGATGCCATCTCAGCCATTAGGAGGATGTTTGCTGTGCGGGTTAAGACATTTCTACAGCTTGAAGATAATGTAGCTTGAGGATGTAGCCCTTTGCTTTTATTTCTGGGGGAAAAAACTCATAGGATTTGGGCATTTCAGCCTGACTTTTTGTTTGCCTGTTTGTTTGTTTTGAGGCAGGATTTCTCTGTGTAACCCTGACTATGCTGGAATTCACTCTGTAGATCAGGCTGGCCTGGAAACTAAGGGATCTGGCTGCCCCTGCTTACCAAGTGCTACCAGCCACCATTGCCCGGCTCAGCCTGGCTTTTTAAAAAGATGCCTCCCTTCCCCCAAAAACATAACAAAGAGCCAACAATACTGCTGATTCTACCAGGCCCACAGGACCGCCCTTCCCCTGCCTGCATGCCTCCAACAGGACCATGCAGATCCTGCCACTTGAGGTCACAGGTTCTGCCACTTGAGGGTCAGCCCTAAGCCCAGATGTTAGTGCACACTGGGCTGGCTTGCCAATCCCTTCTAGCTGTTCTTTATTGAGCACTTACTATATGCCTATAACTGGCCAAGAAGTCATGTTACCCACGCCACATCTACCCACATTCCCCTGGAGTGGGTTTCTACCAGGTAGGTCCCTTCTACAGATGGCAAAACTGAGGCTCAGAGGGTTTAAGTGACTTCCAAGGTACCAGGACTAGCAGTGGCAGAGCTGGGGTTCCAGCCCAGATCCTACTGATGGAGCCAGGTGTGATAGCCACACCTGTAACCCCAGGGTTCATGAGGCCGAGGCAGGAAGATTACAAGTTTGAGACTGATCTAGGCTACATAATGAGACCCTGTCTCAAACAAAACCCACCCCTGAGTGTGGAAGAAATAGGTTTCTCCAGAGAAGGTCATGTCCAGTTTGTCACCTGATACCGAATGGTGGGCCCTGAAATGGTATGCATGCAGGAAACGTTATAGACACTGAACAGGTTGTATCTATATAACTAGGACTATATATATAACAACAATGAAGGAAAAAGAAGTCGGGGATCATGAATTTAAGAGAGCAAAGGGGATGTGCATAGGAGGGCCAGAGGAAGGAAAGGGAAAGGGGAAAATGATAATATAATTATATTTTAAATAAAAATGTGGAAAAATGAAAAACCCCACATACCCAACCAAAAGATCGGGAACTGTTGGGAGAAGTTCAGAGGCATGGATGAGCCCCGCCACCACCTCGATGCACTGTCATCTGTTGCTGGAGTGCCAGCCCATGGTGTGCATGCTGGAAGTTGACAGAGAAGCCACACACTGGCCTTCATTCCTATCCAAAACCTACCCCAGAGTGTCAAAGAGGTGGTGAAGACGAGCTCTGTTTTAGACAGAAGAACTTGAGCTCTCCAAGGCAGAAGGGATGGCAGAATCGGGAGTACTGCTGCTTTGAACCCGAGAACCAAGGAGTGACTCTTACCCACAAGCATCCTAAAACCACAGCCAGAGCAGTGCTCAGGGGGATTGTGGTCCAGGCCTCAGGCCCTTGCTGTGGAACTCGACACACTAGCCCTGGAAGCCCACACATGCACTGCCTTTCAGAAAGGTCTAACCTGGGCCAAAGCCAGCCAGCTCTGATATGCTACTGGATGGGGGCAGTCCTATATATATATCCTGCCTTTCTCTGCCACAGAGCAACAAGGAGCAGGTGGTTATAGAGCAAGAGGGACCCGAGAGACCTGTCAGCTCACTTCAGAGCACACAGCTTCTGGATGCAGATCCAGATAAGGCAGGGCAGGGCATTTTGCAGTGATTGAGAAACTTGAATCAGACCCTTCCAGGGTAGGGCTGGGCAGCATGACGTAGTGTGAGGATTTGTTCCATGTATCCAGACAGATTAAAGGTGTATGGAGAGCTAGAGCCCGTGTGCTGACCAGGAGCTCGTTGCTCTGCCCTGCAGGGCTCGCCCCTTAGGGTATGCTTGAAGATTCCTGTAATGAACGTGAAAAGGCCCTAGACTGCAGGCTGTGGTCTGCAGAAGCTGCAGTGCACTATGGTAGCAGTTCTGGGAGCTCCTCCTTGGCCCGCGTGTCTGGGGGCAGGCCCTGGAGCAAGGCAGGGTGACTGGTGTACTCTGTTGTCGTGGCCTGTCCTTGGTGGCCTCAAGAAAGGCAGAAGTAGAGCTTAGCCCCCCCAGGTGACAAGGGTGGCCCATCCCTTCAGCCCAAAGGGGGGAGGAGGTGGTATCTCTTTAGACTCACACCTTTCTGTTGTCCCTTCCTTAGAGGAGGTGGCCTTCAGGAAGAAGAGGCTGTGCATTAAATTTATCCCCCGAGATTCAACCGAAGCTGCCGTCTGTGACATCCGCATCATGGGCCGGGCCAAGCAGGCGCCTCCCCAGTACACGCTTATCGGGTGAGTCTCAGCACCCCAGTACATGTGTATCGGTGAGTCTCAACATTTCTACACACAGGTTCCCCCGAGAGTGTTTGGGCCACTCCTGGGCCCAAGACTTGAAAGTGTGCATGGCTCACAAGGCTCGGCCATCATCCGTGGTCTGGGTGTTGGCGCTCATCACTGACTCTGCCCTCAGCCCCTTAGCTCACGGTGTAGCTCCGTCCTGGGGCCTCCTGTCCCCCGTACAGTCAGTCACCGGTAAGACCCCTTTGCCTGCTGCCCTGATGCCACTGTGGGCCTCAACTCCTCACGCTGCTTACCAACCTGGGGCACTTTGTGGCAATCCTGCTTGTGCCACAGGACAGACCCTGTGTGCGGGAGAGAGACAAGTCCCTGCTGTTCTGGAGAAAGATGTGCAATGAGCAAGAAGATAAACAGGGCTGTTTCAGACAGTGAAGGGAATGTAGCTGACTTTGTGGGAGCTGGGGCTACTCCAGTAAAGACAGGAGGCAGGGATACTAAGCGAAGTTCTCTGAGTCAGGAGAACCAGCTGTGAAGAGACTGAAGTGGGCTGGCAGAGTGGGAGTGACACTCTGGGAATAGAGGCCCACCTGTGGACACCCAGGGGTAGTGTTGGGCCCAGAGGGAAGTACTTATCCCCTGGCTTTTATTATGGGCACATTGGTTGCAAGTGAGAAAGAAACCCACATGTTGCAGGACTCTACAGTGCAAGTCTAATATCAGAGAACTTGCTGGAGACCGAGCCCATTGGGGCCTGGTCATCTACAGAAGTGAGCCGGGCCTGGCTCCAAGCTGCTCCATAAACTCCAAGTGCAGGCAAATCCCAGCACTTCACTTTGGACCCCCATGAGCCTGAGTGATGGGAAGCCCCACCCAGAGGGGCTTAAACAAAAGGAAGCATTTGTTGGCTGACACAGCAGCCAGGCTTAGGCAGGCAGAAGTATGAACTCAGAGAGTGAGAGCACCTCACCCTGCCCTCTCAGTCCTCTGGAGGGACTCCATCTGGCTCCTGTTTTCTATGGGGAGGCATGACACTGCTGTCCCTTTAGGAGCAGGTCCAGGACAAGAAAGTATACCTTCCCGTGGTTCCCACCACAATTCCAGAATTGAGTGTCCTTGGTTTGATTCATCTGATTGCCATCAGGTGCACCCCTACCTGGTCACTGTTACCTGGGAAAGATCACCTACTGTTTACATCTCTCATTTCAATACCATTTTTAAATTATTTAACTTTATCTCGTTGCATTGGTGTGAAGGCGTCAGATGCCCTGCAACTGGAGTTACAGACGGCTGTGAACTACCATGTGGGTGCTGGGAATTGAACATGGGTCTTTTGAAAGAGCGGCCAATGCTCTTAACTGCTGAGCCATCTTTCCAGTCCCCAAAAAGTACGATATTTATTTCATCTTGGCCATAACGTCCTCCCTTAGAAGAAGACATAGCATGATTTTTAAGTAAGAAAAATAAGTTGGGGACTCAATACCAAATTCACTTAATCTGAGTGCCACCATGACAAGGGCCTGAACTTGTGCTCTGAGAGGCAGAAAGCTCAGACTGGGCGCAGCCTCCGGAGAGCAGCAGGCAGGCTGTGGCAGCGGCAGCCTGTAGCTAGGTAAAGATGGCCGAGTTTCGTGGTGCCGCAGTTGGGCTCACTCTTCTGATAAGGCAAGGTCTGGTTTAGAATAGCCCCCAGGCTACACCCAAGACCCACAGAATAAATGTCCCTTGGCTTCCAGTCCCATAGACACCATGCATGTGGACATGCATGTGGCAGAAATTATCCTGCTGCATTGCCGAGCGTGAGCGTGCCTCGTTCACGGCACAGGTGTGCAGTGTGGGGCACGGCCACTGTGGCTGTCACACCACCCAAGGCGTGCGTCTACTCTTGACTGTGCTGGTGTGTGGCCTGTGAGCCTCCAGTTTGAGGGTTTGAGGCCGTCTTTACAACTGACCTTGGAGTGAAGCCACACGCGACTCCCAGCTAGCTATGAGGGGCCAAACCCTGACATTTGGAAGTGTTGTGTGGACTTGAAGAAGAATCCTTCTCTATAAATCAGGTGTGTGTCTGCAGAACATTCCCCACTGTACTCAGCAGTACTCACTCTAACCGAATAGAGTACTTGAGACCAGTGAGATGGTAAAACAAAGAGTGTGTACATGCCAACAAGCGAGGCAGAGCAACCAGAGCGGGCGGGCACGTGGGCGGGCGGGCAGGCTCGGGTGAAGATGGCTCCATCACAGAGACAGCTGCAGTCGTGCTAGGCAGTCCCCAAGGCATGAAGGGCGGTGACGGGGCCTGTCTTACATGGTGAGAGGGGCCTCCCCAGGGTTTGGGACAGCTCATGGTGAGGTAACGATTGGCTTTGCGGCTCGGGTCAGTGCTCCAAGCTCAGCCGTGTCTTAAAGGTTCTCTTTCTCCTGCAGAGAGCTGAACAGCATGGGCATCTGGTATCGCATGGGCAGAGTGCCAAGAAACCACGACTCGTCTCAACCCACCACGCCCTCACAGTCATCAGCCGCTGCCACCCCAGCCCCAAACCTTCCCAGGTGAGGCTTCGTTGAGGATCTCACCCATGCAATTCCATGGCCTTAGGGCCTGCTGAGCCATGCACCAGCTTAGAAAACACCCACTTAACATCTGCTGAAGTGGTGCGAAATGCAGCTGAAAATTTGCAGAAGTCTAAACTTGGGCCTTAAGTAGTCATGGTCGGAAATCTTTGTGTTCCACGCTGTGTAAAGGCTCGCAGTGATCTGTGTCATGGTAATGCTACAGATCCCCACACAGCAGGAGGTGTGGCTCAAGCTTGGTTGGCCAAGCTGGGCAGGCACGGTGTCTCTCACCCTCAATCCCAGCATTCAGGAGGCAGAGGGCAGAGGCAGGTGGATTTTGAGTTAAGGGCCAGTCTCATCTACATAGCAAGTTCCAGGAAAGCCAAGGCTACATAGTGAGGCCCTGTCTCAAAAACCAAACCAGATTAAACAAAACACAAAAATTGACTTGCCATTCAAATGAGCTTATAGACGCATGTGTGTGTGGCAGCCAGGTGGCCAGCGCCCTGGCTTCCAGAGGGCAGAATTCCCTTTCAACTCTGCAGCAACTAACTCATCAGAGACACAACAGGACTGGTCAGCTGTCCATGATGCTTGCTCTTTCCAGGGACTTTTCCATAGCATTGTAAAGGAAAATATGTGAGAAAGAGAAAGAAAATACTAAAATGATTATAAATTTCATTGTTAATAAATAATTTAAGTTGACACTTTTCAAAGTAAACAGTATTAATGTGAAGTTGCCTTACCTAATAGAAAAATCACCAACCGAATCGGATTGTGAGTGAGAAGCTGTTGTTTTGAGTGGAAGCTGAGCCCTGGTGCACACTGTTCTTTTGTTTTGGTTGGAACAGTTGCCTTTCCAGCCCTCACTCCATGTGTGTTAGGCTTCTCACTATGTGCCTCTGAGTTGAAGCCAATCTTCCTCCTGTTATTTTAGTCGTCCTACTTAAGCAATTGTCACCCTCAAGACGGCACTAAGATTGTAAAACAAGCAACTGTACCTAATTGGTTCAACGGCCGAATGTGCATTTGTACTGTTCTGTATTTAAAAAGTTCTTAGAAAGTGGCAAATTTTCAGGAAATTGCACTTATTGTCATAATAATTAATTCTTCTGCCAGCATTTCAGGTCATCGCCTGTGCTGGGTGAGGTCAGCTTAGATTCACCTTTGGTGCTCATGGTCAGCTCAAGCTTGGGTTAACTATAGAGGCTGTGGAGCCCTTGGGGTTCAATCGCCTTGAATAAGTAGATCCAGTCCCCAAAGACATGTGGTCTGGAAGGGCCCAGAAATGGGCTTCACCTCAGGCGGTTGCTAATTCCTACTGCATGCAATGAAGCCATTCCAATTTGTTTTCTTTTTTCCTATAATTCATCTATTTTTATTTTATGTGCATTGATGTTTGCTTGCATATATATCTGTGTGAGGGTGTTGGATCCTCTGGAACTGGGGTTACAGACAGTTGTGAGTTGCCATATGGGTGCGGGGAATTGAACCCAGGTCCTCTGGAAGAGCAGCCAGTGAGTGTTCTTAATCATTGAGCCATCTCTCCAATCCCTCTAACTTGTTTTCTGTTGCTATGAAAAAAAAAACTGTTCAAAAGCAACCTGGGGAAGACGGCTTACCCGGCTTATCATCCCTGTCACAGTCCATCAGTGAGGGAAGACGGGGTGGAGACTGAAGCAGAGGCCATGGTACCCTTTCCCCATGCTTGCTCCCCTTGGTGGGAGCCCCCACACGTCAGTTGTTAATCAAGGAAACGCCCCCACAGACTTGCACGTAGGCCAAGCTGATGAGGCATTTTCTCAGTGCAGGGTCCCTACTGTCCCAAAAGAAGCAAGAAGAGTGCCCATCCTGAGCTGGCCTGTCACAGGAGAGCCAGGGTGCCCACCCACAGCAGGCAGCCCACCGTACCCACGCTCGCTCTGGGAGCTGGTGGGGTTGGAGGGTGGCATAATCCAGCCCAGCACTTGTAAGGCTTGTGTGTTTTATGACCTTGGTGCACAGTTTATGGTTTACAATGGCTGCAAGGAAATTGGATCAGTTCTGTTTTACTTGCCAAATAAAACAAATGTCAAAATAGTCAATATAAAATGTATTCTAATTTGGCTGAGTTAAGTGAGCCGGCATTCAGGGGGATCACCTCCTGTATGCAAATGCTGCTGTGTGTTTCTCCTAGCTCGCCTCTCTGGCTGGGTGTAGATTTACAGGCAGTGTGCCTGCCTGTGTGAGCCTCTTAAGTCATCTGGGTTTGGTGTTTTTATCTTTCGTGGGTTGGCTCAGATTTTATTCTTTTCCTATCCAGCATCTTTGATTTTTTTTCTTTTTTAAAAAATTGCTAGTTACTTCAGTTTTCCATTGACGACAGGAAGGGTTGAGCCTGCTATTTTGTTCCTCGAGATACTGGGTATCTCTTTAAGGTAACTGAAGACTCAGCTCCCCCCATAGCCCCCCCCCCCCGTGTTAGGTCAGACTGGTACCCACCCTTCCTTCTGTTTCCTCCTCTTGAGCCTGTGCTCACGTGGCCCCTGTGCCCCCTGTGTCCACACCCCTCTGGGCTGCCTGTGCCGTCACGTGAAGAGCCCCTCCAAGTGGTGTGGGCAGTCCCCCCCTCGCCACTGTCACAGCACAGGCATCTCTAACAGTGAGGGCCTCATGTTGCTGCCCCTCCAGGTGACTCCCCATGCCTGAGCACTGCAGAGTTTCAGTCATAAAAGCAGTAAGCGCTTGTGGGAAATTGGCAGAATGTAGAAAATAATGGGAAAACAAAACCCATTTCCAGTGAGCAAATTCTCATAACCTTTTGTTACATTTCCTCCGAGCTCTCCCCGTGTACTTTTATGTAGGTGACATCATCACATGTACAGCAAGTTCATGATTTTCCCATGGAGCAGGGAAAATTGTGTGTGGGGCACCTGATCCAAGCTCCACGCACAGCTGCCAGGAGCACGGTGGCGCACTGCCCTCTACTGGCCACCTACAAGGTGGCAGGCAGCATGCTGGGAGGAGGCCAAAGGATGAGGGAGATGGAGTCGGTGCAGACAAGCTGTCTCCTGAGCCTGGGGGCCAGTCTCAAAAGCCAAGAACCTGTGCTCTGCCAGCACTGGAGTTAAAGCGTTCCCAGCAGCTTTGGGGAGAGCTGTCCTTTCCCACTTGACTTCAGACAAAAGGGGCATTTGCTGACCTTTTCATAGGTGACAAGCCGTGACCTTCCTCATCCCCGCAGCATGGCCTTCCCCTTCACCTGAGACTTCCCATTGCTGCAGGGGCATTCGTGGTGAAATCCGACCTGGAGCCCCCTCCCTGCCCTCCTGAACGAAGGCCTCGGGGTAGGCAGGATGCTCGTTGGCGGTGTCCAGCAGATTGAGCATTGAGTTCAGCGGAATTTGTGTCACAAGCAACATTAAATGGCTTTGGCAGACCTCAGCCTTTGTACAGTGAGCCCTGGTTTTACCCACAACCCTCTGCTTAGGTCTCTGGGGCAAGCCACTTTGTCCAGGACCTGGATCCTGCGTCCCCCTCAAGCAGTGAGCATTCCATCCCTGCCTGTCTGTGTCATGCACATTACCCGGAAGGATAGGGTGACCTGAGGGCTGAGGAAATGTCCTAGCTCCCCACCCCTCTTCTGGGTTGGCCTTGGCTAAGTAAGCCAGCCTTGTGGGGAGGGGTGCTTCCTGTTCTGCTCAGGGCTGCCACGGGGGCAGGGGGAGGGGGCACAGGTACCAGTGCAGACTCGCCTGCAGACAAAGCGAGTCTACCCCTCTCACACATGGGGTCTCATATGTGACTCTGTTAAAAAGGAGAGGTTCTGTGGCTGCCTGGGCTAAGATGAATGAATGTCTCTGTATTACCTGGGTGTGCATCTTGGCGGGCTGCTGGCCCCAGCTTGCTGAGCAGTGGAATCAGAGTCATGCTTATCAAATGCACAGATGACACAGTTGCTAGGGAGAGCAGATGTGCCCAAGGATAAGGTCAATATTGTGTAGCTCCATGGCTGCAGCACCCATGGGCACTAAGAGGTAGAAGGCAGTCACATGGTCCACGCACAGGGCCAGCAGACCTGGCCCAGAAGTAGGGTGCGTGTTTCTAGAGCGTGCCAAGTTCACAAATTAAAACCAACCATCATAGTCTCTCCCTTAGAAATTCAGATTCAGCAGACACCTTGCCAGGGGTAGCCTTGGTTAGCAGTATATTGGGATAGCTCAGTGTTGGCCACTGAGACCTGCTCCAGATCCCACAAGCACTGCCCCTTCCCCTCAAGGGCTGGTGGCGGTGACAGGGGCTCCGGTGGGAGGAGAGCCGACACCGCGGCACATCCTGGGATGGGTTGCAGACAGAGTGCCCAGGCCTCGCTGGTGCTGACGCAAACAGCCACCGTGTGGCCCCCTCCAGTGTCCGCTGAAACAGGTAGCTGGGACCCCAGAGTGCTGGACATACTAACATTCGTTTCAGTGTAGACCCTGAATGGGGCTGCCTAGGAACTGGAGCACACGCACACAATGGCTGTGCTCTGCCTACCCACGGGCCTGGAGTAGGAGTCCTTGTTGTAAGCTGTGGTCCTGGGGAGAAACCCTACCAGGCCTGCCTGTCCTTCTCGGACACCCCACTACCTAGGACAGAGGACAGTCCCACCCACAGCCACAGAGGACACCACATACTTTCTAGCAGTAGTCACAGCAGCCCCCCCCCCAAGGTACAGCCGCTAGGAGCCGTCCCAGGTGTCAGTCAGCTAAGCGTGCCTCTCTGTGGCCTGGTGCTTGCTGCTTAGAGGTGTTTGGGGATCTCCCAGTGATTTGTCAGCTCCCAGAAGGTTGTCAGTCACATTTTCCAAAGTATGTTTCTCAGTGACAGACATAATTGTACTTAACTCTTTGCATGGATATTATCATTCTGTGACAGATACTCTGGGAAATGGGGCATTTGATAGCAGAAAATCTGTCACATGCACTTAGTCTTCCTCTCGGGGACACCAGGATTCAGTCACAACTTTTGCATGTCGG